GCAGYAGTATATGTACACAAAATTTAGGCACTGTTAGATCTGTCAATTCTCACTGATGTGTAAAGTTCTGCATCAAAGATTTGAAAACAATGTCACTGGAGAATTCAATCCCCCTCAATCAGTTTGCTCAGACTACTACAATTTAAAATGCAAAATAAGCAAAACCATCTTGTTCTTTTTCAAACTTCCACCCACTTAGTTTATCGAGATCAACAGCGAACAACCCAAAGAAGGATAAACAGCCCAGTCCCAGAAGCCAGTTTCATTTTTACTGTCCTTGTTAGAAGCTGAATCCTTCTAGCTGGGGGGGAGGGGGAGGAATTAAGCAGCTCCACACTCTGATCTTAAACTTCTATGGGAGAAGACAAGTCACTGCTGGCAACTAAGTTGTATTTGGAAAGATTAGATAGATGTTTCTCCTCCTTAAGAAAGAGTACTTAAGATGAGGCCGGGAAAGAGTCCCTATTCATGTCTCTTCTCTGAGATTTTGTTTCCAATCTCCAATTGCAAGAGAAAAGAATCCTAAATCATTTAATTTTTCACTATAGAAGATTCTCTTTTGAGTAATAAAGAATTGTCAGTCACCACCTATGCAGTCTGCAAGCCTACTGACAATCTACTACTGTCATCAGGAATCCCAGGCTAACTTCCCCAAATCAAGAAATGGGGCTCTATTAAAAAAAAAAAAATTAAATGAAATACTGCCATGCGTGGGAGCATACACATTAGGGGACACACTCTCAGGTAATTTTAAGGATCTACTAACAATGGCCACAGTAACAGGGAACTACATCTGTTTCTGCTTGAGAAAATGCTTCAGTAATATCCTGTTTCGGGAGTATTGCATGAATTCTTGGCATGTAGCCTTCAGATATTAAGGGTGGCTGTTTTCCTTTTTTAAGATGTAAGATTCAGGGAGGGAGAATACATCACAAGCAACACCAGACTCTAGTTCTCAGTTCAGATGTCGCTGCAGTTGCACTTCCTGCTTACTATACCCAGTATCTTCAGAGATACTGCTCACCCCAACCTTGACAGTAGCACAGCTGGCCTTTCACAGATGCAGTGACCTAGCCCAGTGCTGCTGCTGAGGTCTACAGCACAGAGACTTCCACACCCAAGTGAGAACCAGGATGAGAGCAGCTGCTGGTTTCTAGGCCAAAAAAAATAAAATAAAAGGGAAAGAAAAAGGGAACCTTACACACAGTCATGAGCACAAGAAGGAAGAATATATAGGGCCTACCAAAACCTCTACCTTCTCACATAAAAGGTTTATACACAATAATACTCCTGAATTTACAGTCATCCAAGGGAACAATGATTACACTGAATTTGAGCCAGGGTCCAGTGAGCAGACCTTGATGCTTGAAGGCAGTCACCCCAAGGCTTGCCTGATTGCTTCCTGGATCTCAGATCCACAGCTATTAACAGCCTCAAATACCCATCACAAAGTCCCCAACCCCAACCTCAACCTCAAGCTATAGCGTTTGCTCCCATCAACAGAAAAACAGCCCTCCCACATTACAGGCAGTATTTCTCACTGCTCTAGTTTCTAAGTATCCCATGATGTGGTAACACAATTTAAGAACATGAATTTTTAAAAGATTAGTCCACTAAATGAAACTTCACTACAGTGAGGTGTATAGGTGTTCTAGTTTAAATGTGTCTTCTAAAAATTCAAGTGTTGTAATCTTAAACCTCAAATGTATATGTTAATGCTATTTGAAGGTGGGACAGGAAGGTGTAGGTAGCTGAAAGTAATTAGGTGCAGATGAGGTCATGAGGGTGGGGCCTCCATGATGGCATTAGTGGCTTAAGAAAAGGAAGAGACCAAGCTATCAAGATTGCTGTGTTTCACTATGTGATAACCTACGATGCTGCGGAATGCCAGCATCAAGCTCTTGAACTTCCCAGTCTCCAAAACTGTGAGTCAAATAAACTTGTATTCTTAATAAATTACCTGATTCTCCAGGTATTTTTGTTACAGCAACCAACATAAAAGGGACTATAGAATTTGAAGAGAAACTGGGGGGGGGGGTGTTCTTCTCATCATACATGCATTTATTTAAGTGCTTCCCTTAACCCAAATGTCCTAATCCTCAATACTCATGTCTGCAAGAGAGCAATGTTTGATTTAACAGTTAAAAAAAAAAAAAAAGCCACAGAATTCGTTTCTCTATTTGTTCCTTCTCATCATTCTCCTACTGCTTGAGAGAATGCTCCCCAAACAAGAATTCCCTAGAGTCTAAGCAGACAGAGAAGGGAAAATGAATCCTGCTTGTCAGCTTCAGCCTGGAGATTGCATGTCAGCTCAGGAGTTCAGTAAAATGCTCTATGTATGGCAGTTATGCAACCTGGCCCAGTGGATCTGCAAATGGCCCAGCCACTGTCTCTCATGAATTGTCCCTTGGTAAATGGGGAACTAGAAGGGAAAGACAAGAGCCTGTGCTCTCTGGCTTTTCCTCTCTACCAGCAAGTGTTTTATTCTCCCAGTTCCCCTGTTATTCTCCCAGTTCCCCTGTTGCTGCAATGAGGAATATTATGTTCCTCCCTTTTTGTTTGTTTTGTAAAGCTGCTGTATTTCTCTGAGTCCACAGAGGATACCAGCAGTAACCTGGTTGTCAGGAGAGCTAAGAATATGGATCAAGAACACAAGGAAAGTTCTGAAACAAAAGGCAAGTTTTTATCTGTGGGWTGGACAAGCTTGCAGAAGTGAAACAATGCTTAGTAACAATAAACTTGAAAGAAGTCTTACTTTTAGAAGCCAGGTGAATTATTACCTTAGGAGAATAAATGTATGTGTATGTGCGGAGGGGGAGGGGAGCAGCAGGAACTGCTGCCCCAGCAACAGCCAAGGAGGAAATCCCCTGCCAGGAGATGCACCATTACATAAGAGCACAAGTTCAATCACAGCACCATGGACACCTGCCAGGAAACCAAGCAAAGTGCTGAGGTCTCCTCACCTGCTAGCCTGCATGTAGCACCTTATTCTAGCTATCTTCCTCTTCTTTCAGTGGGATAAATTCTGGGTTTTGAAAAGGCTAGCCTCTGCAATTAAGTAAAACTCTGCCATTGGATAGTGGCTCTGTTCTCAGGTTTAAACGCTGATCCCCTGGAGACCTGAGACCTTTTAGTAGCAGGTGAGGATATGTTTCATATACCATTTCTATTACAGTATCCAAGAACTCACTCTATAGACTAGAATCCCATCTACATGCTTCATACTGATACTGTCTTCTATTTAACTTATCAGGCAAAAGTTTCTTAAGCAGCAAAGGGCCATTAAGGAAAGCAAACAACATAAACCAAAATAAGTTGACTTAGTGAGCTCCAAGAGGACATGACTGGGTTCTGTCTTATTCACTGCAGTATCCCAACACCTAGTATAGAATGTGTCTGGCAAACATTCTGTATCACCTAAATACTTGTGAAAATGAATAAGTGCTGTACAAATATACCATATGTGTATCTTGGAGTGTTAAGGATAYATACAATCTCAGAAACAGGTTGAAGTAATTGTGCAAGAAAGTTCTAGAAAGTCTCCAAAATCTCTTTGTGACCCTGGGCAAGTTATTTAACTTGTCTAGCTTTGGTCTCAATTGAAAAAAAATGGGGAGACAATAGTCACCTCAAAAATTTGTTATTAAATGAGAATGAAAAGCGAAACTCAGCAAAAACTTGGCACACGGTAAGTCAAAAAATCTTCCACATTATTGCTATTATTGTTGCTCTATGAAAATGTTCCTTAACTGAGGGGGGAAAATATCCAACTGTAAGAAAAATCTTCATTTCTTGTTGAATATGCATCTAACTAAAAAATGCAAAGCTCAGAACACTCAGAACTCAGTGCCAAGGGCATGTCTCTACTAGCCTCCACTAGATGGTGACAATTTGGGTGTGGAATTCCCAAGACAGAAAAAGTTCATACATATTTTTTAACCCAAAGGGATTCAAACAGTAAAGAAGTGCACTAATCACTGAAAAGGATGGAAAGACAAACTCCCCACTCTGTAGATCTAAAAAGGAAGTAAACACCTTCAATGTGGTTAAATTGAACTGGGTAATCTTCCCCACCTCTGAAGAGAGCACAAACAACCCCAGTTAGCAAGAGCAACTGAGCCCTGCACGCTGCCTGCCATCGAGAAAAAATTCTGTGGCAACAGCAACATTAGGCCTCTTTGCTGAAAGATGAATTTCCCTTGAACCAGCCAAATACTTGATTTTGATGCCTCTTTTCTCCTGAGTCTTACAGTCCCCATTACCATCTGCCCTCCCAATCCCGTTACAGGTAACTTTTTCCACTTTGGCAGCTGCACAGCCACCATCGTGCGGGAGAGTCAGACTCACACTAATATTTGGAGTCTCTAAAAACCACTCTCTAAAAAAGGAAGTCTATATGTATGTCCACAAAACAGAAAAAAATCAGACAGGAAGTGTGGCTTTGATGAGTTTCAGCCCAGATAATAAGAAAAGTTTTTTAGATTAAAGAGCGGATGAGAGGCACAGGGGCTCCAGAAGGCTCACGCATACGCACAGGCGACTCCACAATTTCCTCAGGAAATCCACCTCCGCTAAGTCTGCCCTGCCCAGCGCAGGACCTGCAGCTTTACTCGGAGGGAAGGAAAGAGTAACAGTAATARAAAGAGGGCCTCCGCCTACCCCTCTGTACTGACCCGATAAAGAGCGCTGGCCCTCTTGGCTCTGCCCGGAGTGCGGGCACCAAGTGCCCGACCTCCAGTCAGCCGTCCGGTCCCCTCTCAGCCCGGTACATCTCACACCGCCACCCCGCAGTCCCGCCGGACCCGGCCGGGCCGAGCCAAGCCGGCGCGGGGCTACCGCCGGTGCCGCTCACAACCGGGTGACAGCAGGCCGTCGCGRGGAGCAGACGGTCAGGGCTCCCACCAGCGTCCATCCGGGCGGTGCGCGCCCACCCGCGCCCCTGACAGCCGGCCAGGCGCGCCAGCGACACAATGCCGGCCCCGGCCACGGTGACAACTCACCCGGGAGCGGCGCGGAGACCTCCGGGAGGGGGACACTCGCAGCTTCCGCGCCGCGGGATCCACTCCGTCGCTGCGCGAGCCTGCAACCCCTTCGGGTCTCGGCGAGGCCCCGCGTGCCCTTGTCTAGCTTGCGCTGGCCGGCGCTGCGGGAAGAGGAGGCAGGCGAGAGGGAGGGAGGCAACGAGGCGGTCGCCGGCTTCGGAGAATGGAACGCGGCGGCGGCGGCGGCGGCGCCAGCGTCACTGACCCAGCTGTACCGCGCGGGCGGGGGAGGCCCCGCGGAGGGAGGAGGGAAAGGGGCGGGGAGGGGCGGAGCCAGGCGCGCACGCAACAAGCGCCGGCGTCGCGCCGCCGCGACCGAYCAGCGAAGAGGCTTCGCACGCACGCGTCGCCAGCCGGGTCTGACGCCCCACGGRAGGCGAGACGGCGATGGGGGTGCCTTAAAGGGACAGTTCCTCTGAGTGAGCTGGTGTGGACCAGCTGTAGTAACTACTCGGACTGCACAGTTTGCAGTGCGCTCTCCAGTTGTTGTACTGTTATTATTATTTAGGTGTTATTTTACATTATTGAATTATTTCAATAATTGAATAACCATTTGCAAAGAAGTGAGCTGCTCTCGGTTTACAAGACTTTTACGCACGTTGCCTTGTTAGCTCGCCTGACCAATCTCTGAAGCAGGTTATTATCCCCCTATTAAAGCAGTACTCCTTAAACTCTGGTGAGCAGCCTGCTAACCTCAAAATTGCCTCGAGCGGTGGGTGGGTGTGGAAATACAGATGGGGCACCACCTCCAGTTATTCTGATTCAATAAATCTGGGGTCAGCCTCACGCTTCTCTTTTAATGAGCAAGTGATCTCTCAGGCATATTAAAAGCACAGGATGGATCTCAAAGTTAAGGAAACTGAAATTTAGAGCAAAGACTGGCAGAGCCATGACTAGRACCCCACCACGCTCCTAGCTATTTTTCCCCTCCCGAGCCTTGCCTCCTAGGGCTACTCCAGCAAATCCTATGTGAGCAGTTGGTGCACTGTATGGCTACGTCATGTGGTGGTGACTTCTCACTACAGATGCTTCTTAGGCTTATGTGTTTACAAGGCTTCAGGCACCTTAAGGTCAGGGAGTATGACAAACTTATCTTTTGCCTGAGGCCCTTGAACCTTGCCTCTCAGAGGTGCTTCATAAATGTCGAAGTGGAGGCTGGGATTGTGGCTCAGTGGCAGAACGCTTGCCTTGCATATATGAGGCACTGGGTTGGATCCTCGGCACCACATAAAAATAAATAAATAAATAAATAAAAAGTATTGTGTCCATCTACAACTAAAAATATATAAATATATATTTTTTAAATGTTGAGGTGGCACTCTACCTTGAAAAGCAGTGGCAGAGGCCACACACTTATGCCTTTACTGCAGCTTGGATCAGGCAGGCCTATCCTCCCAGATGTGTTTGTTTCTTCCTCTTCCCCTCGTAGTGCGTTTCACCCATGCTCTGGAAGTACTCTACCACTAAGCTACACCCCCAGGCCCGAAATTTTTATTTTTTTCTTTTGCCAGATGCCCTTTGGCAAGAATACAACACCTCAAGGCCTCTGAGAAAGGCTTTCAGGCTGTGAATCAACAGGGTATATCTTTGAAGAAGCTCAAACAAAGCAAGCACGGTGCCCTCTCCCCAGCACACACACACACATTCCCAAGAGAGCCCTCGCCTGGGCCCCACAGCAACCTGAAGCAAGTTGCTACCTTTCTCTTAGGACGGTCCTTGCTCTGCCTTCTTTCTTCTTGTCTTCCTTGGGGAAGATGAACACCCTCCTTTCCTGCTCATTTCCTCCCTCTAGTGGAGCTAACTGCTCAGACCATCAGGGGGTTGAAAAGCAAATATCAGAATTAAGCTCAGCAAAACCTGTGCCCAGGCTGGAACAGCTCAGGGCCAGGGCCCATGCAAGGTTCAGGAAAGGGATAAGGACAAAGGAAACAAGGGGAAAGGGTGGAAGAATAAGTGAAGAAGACAAATGGAGAAGAAAAAAAAAAGAAGAAAGAGAAAAAAGTAGGCATCAACATGCAGGTCAGATTATCTAGGAAAACAGCTAATTCCCTGACTCTGCACCACAGTCAGTTTGACCACTAACAGGTGACTTCATGCAAAACCTGCAAGATGGCTTCTGAGACCCTATTAAATAGCTGTTAATCACTACTTAAAATCCTCCCCTGAAACCCAGGCCCACAGGATGAAATCAAACTCCCCAGCAGGAGGAAGGAGGATCACAGTTCAAGGCCAGCTTGAGCAACTTAATGAGACCCTGTCTTAGGAAAAAAAAAAAAAAAAAGAGGGCGGGTGGGGTGTCAGGATGTAGCTCAATGGGAGAGTGCCCCTGGGTTCAATCCCTAGTACCACAAACTCCCCAGCTAGGACCAAGAGACCAGTGCTAACCAAGATCTGGCCCAAATCCTCCCTTCCCTCCACATACCCAGATTCCAGCCTCCCCACACCACTTACTGGTCTCTAACAAGCCACTGTTGTCACATCTCAGAGCCTGTGCCCAGCTGTTCCCTCTTCTTGGAATGCCCTCTCTACTTACCAAAAGGAGTGGTACTTTGGTTGAACCTCACACTTCAGTGTGCATTTCCTTCTGTTCTCCCTTGTCAGCATCAGGGTGAATCTCTACTCCCTCAGTATACACTGGCACACCAGCCTCTTCCTTGCCTGAGGTTCCACTTGCCCCCTTATAAACCAGAGCCAAAGTCCCTTCTGCTTATGGGGCCTTGCTCTTCTCATCTGCAAAATGGGGATGGTACTTCCTAAACTAGAATAGATATAATTTTTATCCCATTGAAGAGATATCCCAAGGTGAGTATTAAGAATAATTTGATTTAGATATTCTGAAGTGAGAGGAAACTGTTGTTTTTCTCTTTTTACAGTGCTAGGGATAGAACCCTGGCCTCACGCATGCTAGGCAAGTGCTCTACCACCTAGCTAAGAAGCACTCCACCACTGAGCTACATTTCCAGCCCTGATTTTTTTTTTTAATATTTATTTTTTAATTATCGGCGGACACAACATCTTTGTTGGTATGTGGTGCTGAGGATCGAACCCGGGCCGCACGCACGCCGGGCGAGCGCGATACCACTTGAGCCACATCCCCAGCCAAAAAGCACCACATACCACATACCAACAAAGATGTTGTGTCCGCCGATAATTAAAAAATAAATATTAGAAATTCTGTCTCTCTCTCTCTCCTCTCTCACTCTCTCTTAAAAAAAAAAAACAAACAAAGATGTTATGTCCGTCGAAAACTAAAAATATATTAAAAATTATCTCTCTCCCTCTCTCTCTCCTTAAAAAATAAAAATAAAAAAAATTAAAAAATGGTCTAAAATCTTTAAAACTGTTTTTAAAAGCACAATTTTACTGAAATATAACTAACATGCCACCAGACCACAGTTTAAATGTACAATTATTCATTTACAATGTACAATTTGCCAGCACAATTTGGCACACAACTATAATCCCAGCAGTTCAGGAGACTGAGGCATAAAGTTCACAAGTTCGAGGCCAGCCTTGTGAACTTAACAAGATCTATCTCCAAATAAAGATAGAAAGGGCTGGAGATGGAGCTCAGTGATATAAAGCACTTGCCTAGCATGTGTGAGGTCCTGGGTTCAATTACCCTTCCCCAAAGAAAAATGTACAATTMAATGGTTTATAGTATATTTCCAGTGTTGTACAACCATTGCAAAAAGAAACTGTAGGAGATTCTTCCTTCTTCTTCTCTACCTTCCACTTCCTACCATTCCAATTAATAATCTACTTTCTATCTCTATAGATTTACCTATTCTGAGCACTTTGTATAAATTGAAGCATACAATATATAGCTACATAATTGATTTTTGGCAGGGGGTACTAGGGATTGAACCCAGGGGGGTTTAAACATCAAGCCACATCCCCAGCCCTTTTATTTATTTGTTTGTTTGTTTGTTTGTTTTGAGACAGGGTAATGCCTGATTATTTAGATCTCAATAAATTGCTGAGGCTGACTTTGAACTTGGGATCCTCCTGCCTCAACCTCCCTATCACTGGGATTCCAGGCATGCACCACCAAACCCTGCTTGATTTTTTTGTTTGTTTTGTTTTGTTTTCTGTTACTTATACCTAGTAATGAATTTTAAGACCAGAGCTAATATTTTTAAGATTTTTTTTTAGTTGTCATTGCATATAATACCTTTATTTTATTTATTTATTTTTAATGTGGTGCTAAGGAACAAACCCAGTGCCTCACACATGCTAGGCGATCACTCTACCACTGAGCCACAACCYCAGCCCCAAAACTAATTTTTTATTTTTACTTATTTATTTAGACTTTGCTTTACTGTGAAAGGATTTAAGATGCCTGAATTTTGATACAATTTTTTTTTCTTTGACAGTACTGGGGATTACCCTGGGCCTATGAGGAGTAGACAGGAGTGCTAGGTAAGCCCTCTACCACTGAGCTACACCCACAGCCCCCAATACAAATCTGAAGGCTCACAATCTAAGCACAGGAGAACACCAGAGGAGTTAGCCTATCCCTGGCTGGGAGCAAGTRGAGGAACCAACCATCCCAGTTTGACTGGGATGAGAGGGTCCTAGGGATGTGGGACTTCTAGTGGCAAAACTAAAAAAGTCTCAGCAAACTAGGATGAGTTGGTCCCTCCTGTAGGAAGTCAGGAGGCAGGGTGTGCTTCTTCATCCCCTGAGAATCTAATAAGGAGCATGCGTGCTTTACCACCTACAAGCAGGACGGAGGAGTTTGATTCCTTGAGAAATGAGGAAGAGAAAAGAATAAATATGTGGTACCTCTGTTGCTATGCTTATTACATATAATAATCTATAGAGTACCGACTGTGTGCCAAGTACTTGGTAGGAACTTAATCTCTGTAACCTCTGTTTTGGCAAAAATCCTCCATGTTAAGTATCATCAACACCAATTTACATGGGAGGCTCAGAGAGGTGTTTGTGACTTATCAAAAACCACATAGCAGGTATGTTGCAAAACCAGAATTGATTCTTGTTTGTACTAAAGGTCACACTTACTCAAATAAACCACATAGCCCCTCCTATTTCCAACAAAAATCGAAAAAATAACCCAAATTTTCCTTATGTTTCTCTTGATCTCCCTGAAAGTGCTTTTTTCGACTATCTGCTTGTTTTATCCCCAAAATGAGGAGACATTATGACCCCTCAATTTTACCTATAAGGAAGTCAAGGCACT